AAATATGACATCAACTTAAGTAATACTGGGACATGTTAAACAATGTATCCAAAGGGATTTGCAACTGTTTGCATGTTCTTAAGGAAGCAGCTCTCAAAATTAAGTAGTTATTTAGCATAAGATTCATAAAGTGACTTTCATTGTTAGAAGAACAATCCCTCTGGAGCAAACCGGGTTTAAGTGCCTTATTGAAGGGCACAACGGTGATACTAAAGGCTCCTTGTTGGCCTTGTATGAGCAACTGTCCTTTTAGAGACCAGCACTAAACTCACTAAACTTGGTGTTGAAAATTACATTTTGCATTGTTTTCCTGTTCTATTCTATAAAAAAAAAAAAAGTAAAAATGATTTTTGTTTAAGAGGAAACCAATTATATTGGAATGTACAGAGAACAAACTCATTGCATAAAACATATCCAATGTCACTTGCTTGGCAGGCATATAAGAATTTATTTATATTTTTTTACTTTTTGATTCATAGTTGGGTGTTTCTTCAACTTTGGGCACTTGTATGTCCCAGGGGTACATTTTTATTGAATTAACCATTTATTTTTGTTACAAATGGTCACATTAAAACTGTCTTGGAAACTGCGTAAACAGTGAACTAAGTTTAAAATTCAATATTTATTTGGTGTGAAACTGATTTATATGAGTATTTCAGAAATTACAAAGTTTTCACTACAAGTTGTGCGAAAATTGTAATAATTTATATAGATATTGACAAAATCAGCATTTTTTCCCAAAAATATTTAAATTGTCATTTCCATCACATAATACTGCTAAACTCAATACAGAATTTGAAATGTGGTGGGAATTTGTATTCTTTTTTTATAACTAAAAAGAAAAAGAAAATACAGCCTAAAACAGAATTTTCACATGAGATCCAATTTAAACACTTTAAAACTTTTTTTTTTCACAGAGACCGAAGAAAAATCTCTTGGGAGATACTGCTACCACTCCACCATTCACACATCCTTTTGCACTGTATATCTGTTAAAACGATGGTCTTTTTTTACTGTCCTCTTTGGCCTGAGCTGTGCAGTTGCATTGAGCTACAAATACCTGAATGAGAATGTGGAGTGGTGGCATTTTTCTGAAGTGTGCTCATGATGCTCAATCCCTGCCACACCTAGTTTACAAGGATACTATACAGTGCCAACAACACTGACTCAATGGCAATGCATGTTAGAGGAAAGACTCGGAACCAACAGGAATGTCAGACATGTCTGAAACCACAAGTAGTTAGGAATATACATTGATTAGACCTTCAATTTGTGAACGGACGTCCCAGCTACATGAAAATTCTAGAACTATCCACACATACAGTATAATAACTCACAGCAGTATACTCTATAAACAAATAATAGCCTACAATAACTATTAGGCTACAATCTGGAACACAGGAACATCTTCTCTTAAAGCAATCAAGAACTATAATTACTAGGGCCTTTAATATAAACTCCTTAAACACTTACCTCACCTTCATGAACATTCTACAGGCTTCCCTCCTCCTCCCCCACACCACCTCTATTCACTTCTACTACTACTCTAATATTAAATAATGTATAAACTTCTGTAAGTAGCCCAGATGGACATTTCATGGATGGCTAGTCAAACATGTTTACCTAAAGATATAAAAATGTGTAAAGATATGAAAATGTGAAATATGAGTTTCTGAGAGACACCTGGTTTTCTACTTGTCATCATGTTTTGCAGATCACACATGTAAATAATGTAGGGAAATTATGTAAAAATCCCAAACAATTTCTTTACAGTTTGTATTAGTGAGATGACATAATCAGTGTGACATAAAATACAAGCATATTTACTTAATATATAATAATAAAAAAAAAACTATAAAACTCACCAGAGCCTGTGATGTTGTTGAACCCAGCAGGTGAAACATGGAACGAGGACCTTCAGCAGGAAGGCTGACTTTGATATTGCCTGATTTTATAAATGTTTTTTATTCTCAGTTGACAAAAAGTTGGGACACAACTGTGAAACCTTATTAAAGATGTACATTTCATTAAAAATTTACCTTATTTGAGGACATAGCAGCCATTTTTACTCAAAAGTATGCATTTATATAATTGTTTTGCTAAAGTTTAAAATATTTTTTAAATCTATATAATGTATTAAGTTATGGTCTGAGGGTCAGAACACACTGTGTTTTGACAATTGCATCTTAATTGTTAGTGTTTCTAACCGGATCGGTGGTATCTGAAACATTCAGTACTGTGTCGGTGGTGTGTGCAATGACAAAAATGTGTTTTTCACCATTCAAACTAGCAGTTGTTCAACCACATTTCATAGCACCGCATAGTACCACAGTTAGAGCAGAAAACAAAAGACCTAAAAAATATCCAACTCGACTTGGACCAAACGGAATAAAATGCTCTGTTTGTGCTCCTCTAGATTGCCATTGGGTGAGTCTGCAGTACTCATTTAGACACCTGTTTCTCTGTCTGCATGAAAACTGAAGCAACTTTCATTCCTGTGTTTTTGCTTCCACCACTATGATGTTCTTACTTAATTAATGGCGAGGCCGTAACATGTTTACGGCTAGAGGAGAGCATTTGTTTCCCAGTTGCTGGTGACTGTATTTCATTACAGAGATACAATGAAGGAGACAAGTTCATACCTGATGCCCAGACGCTGATACTTAGATGTAACACAAATAAATACAAGTCAAAGACTCAACTCCAAAGTCTCTCCCTTAAGGCGAAAGTACTGCTCTTGCCACAACATGTGCACAAGCTCAATGCCAGTCAGCCTTCATGCATTAGCCTACGCTAAGCACACAAGGTGCTTTCCTCTCTCAAACACTTTCTTTTGAGGTTCAGTAATACATCTGTGGATTTCATGACAGTGCAGTCAATAGGAGCTTTGCTAAGTACACAGTGAAATCGGCTAAGATGAGGGTCATAAATGGGTGATTTTTCAGTTAAATGCACTTTTGACTACTTGAAATCTTGAAAAATGAAACTTCTTCAAACTACATTTCACTGGGTGGATTTTTAAATGTGTGTGATGGTTTATTTTTTGGAGAAAACATTTAACAATCACTGATATACTGTTAAATAACCAGACATCACTTGCTGACTTACACTCTTAAAAATAAAGGTGCTTCAAAAGGTTCTTCAAGCGATGCCATAGAAGAACCATTTTTGGTTTCACAAAGAACCATTCAGTCTTTCTTACCTTTTTGTAATCTTACAGATTTTTGTAATCTTACAGAACAGAAAGGTTCTTCAGATGTTAAAGGTTCTTTATGTAACCATTTAGACAAAAGGGTTCTTCTACGGCATCGTAAAGCACCTTTATTTTTAAGAGTGTACTGCAACCAAATCTGTTCAAATTACCATGTAGTGAGTGCATTCAAAATATAAAATCTCATTCGGTTCATAAACTTTTACCTTTGTACTGAACTGTAAACATTCACAATTGCAGCACCGTTTAGAGTCCATGGAGTTAAATCTCATTCTCTCTGTGAATAAATACCAACAAACCCTGTACAGGTGCATCTCAATAAATTAGAATGTCGTGGAAAAGTTAATTTATTTCAGTAATTCAACTCAAATTGTGAAACTCGTGTATGAAAATGAGTGGTTACTCGTTTACATTGACATTAGACCTGTCTCTTCTAGTGGCTATTTTCGGCATGAATAGTGGTTAAGATTGGGCTCCATTTTTGCTGCCGAGAGCTTAAGGTTGCAAGGTGGGTGACTAATAGTATTACTTTTCAAAGCATGCTAAATAGATCACTTATTATGAAACTTACTATGATTACTTACTATGAAATGTGGCTGTACTACCGTTCATGAAATAAAACAAAAACTCTTACAATAAAGTCTTTATTGTATGGCAGACTGGAAACAACAAACGCATTGCATTAACACCTTGATGACTTCATGGTTTGTTTCATTAGGCATCTTTCTCAAACTTTCAGTATTACTCAACCAAACAGCAGTTTCCTGTTGGACGCTCGTGGGCTAATTTGATTGAATATGCCTCAGTATGCTGAGAAATATGAACAAGCACTTCCGAAATACATTTCAGTCTGGGTTTGTGGGTGTTGCATTAACGTTGAATGGATAGTTCACCCAAAAATTCTGTCATCATTTACTCACCCTCATATCGTTCCAAACCTGCGTGACTTTGTGTGGAACACAAAAGAATATATTCCGAAGAATGTGTCTACTTTTTTGCCCATACAATGAAAGTCACACAGTCCAGTGTTGATTGAAGGTTTTTCAAAATACTGTATCTTCTTATGTTATACAGAATAAGGTCAGATTTTTTTTAATTTCTGGATGAACTATCCCTCTATTGAAACTATCAAAACACAACCAGCTGAAACCTTTCTGTAGTGCTATGCATTCATATGCATTTCAGAAAGAACTTAAGGGTGTGTGGCACAAGACTGTAAGGCCAAACCCTTGCAAACACAACAGTCTTGCAATATTTCACTGTTGACAAAACACACTTTAGTTTTTCTCATGGGATGTTTCTATGCTGTTGTTTCTAAGGATATGACTGAATCCTAGCTACCATAGACATTAATGGGGACATGGTTCCACAACATTTTACCTTTGTTCCCCACAAATGTTAAATATTTGGCCACGTACTTGACTAAAACATAATTTAGCTCACCATAGTTCAAATATGATAATTTTATGATGTTTTTTCCATTCTGGATTTCGAACAGTTTTTGGGGCTGATTGAATCGCAGTTGCTTTGGCAATTCTGAACAGAAGCTTTCTGCGACGCAAATAATAAAAAAAAATCATAATGAATTTAAAATATATGACACCAACATGTAACTGCATCATGCCACAGATTTACATGTAAATTTACAATCACTTTCAAACTTACTCTCTGTATCTGTAGTTTCGGTGAGTGTTGCTATGTGTGTTTGATTGTCATGCTGGTGCTGTAGAACCTGTTTGGTTGCTTCACATGCATTTATCTGACAGAAACCTCATGACAGAGAGGATGACAGTCATATCCACCTGGAGTTTAGAGGTATCAACATCAGTGGCTACAGATACACTCTCATGAACGACATTGGGTAAGTGACTCACTTTCCACTGTCCAGTGCTTATATAGATCATACAGAATCAGAAAGAACATCATAGTGCAATTTATCATCCTGCATCTTCATCTGATGAGAACTGATAAATTCAGTTACTTGCAAAATATAGAGGTTTGTCATGTCAAATCAGGCCTAAAGTAGACTGTTCTGTTGTTTAAGCAGCTCCTTTAATATCTCATTGAATATTAGTGTTTGGTGTGGACTGTGCTCTGATTGTTGTTAAAATGTGAGTCTATTGAGGTTTCAGATATTAATACTAGTAGTGAACAGGAGAAATATTTTGATCTTTTGTTAAGCTGAAACTTTCAGCACTAATTCATCATCATGCATCATGTGCAGGCTATAAAAATTAGGAATAACTTACAACTTATGATAGCAATAGAAGCAAGTCTTTGGGAAGCTGTTGTGGTGGTGGGTGAAGCTGAAACAATAAATGATTCCCGCTGCTGATTAAACAAGGTTTTACTGAGCTGAGTAATTATATTGTTCGAATCTTGACCATGAAATCTTAACTACATCGTCAAGACCATTTGACTGTTCTAATCGCAGTCTGAATAATGTGCTTTAGAGAGACAAAACGGAGAAAAATGGAAGACAGACATTTAGGGGGGAAAAAAAGGCAGGAGAGATACAGAGTGACCTTGTATTTATCTCCTCATCTTTCTTTCATCTGAACAAACTGGTTCTCCTCATTCTCCACAGTCCATCCATTCCTAAAACATTCCTGACACAAACCACACATACACAATCTGTTACAGAGACAGAATACCATGTTAAAAGTTAAAATTCCTAACATTTCTGAATTCTGCTTGTATATAAAGTGCGTTATAAATAATTTATTATTCTTATTATTAAAAAAAGCATTGGGCATGTAGAGGCTGTACTTTGCACATATGCACGTTTTCTGCAATTCTTTTGTTAAAAAAATTATAATAATAAAAATCTCTGCTGGCCTATGAAATGTTAGCTCAAACCTTAGTGAGAGAATAAAGATGTCATAATGTCATAAAGCCACAGCCCATGTGATTGATCGCAAGATTGCAGACCTTAAAAGGGAGCATCATAAAGCATCATTTGTTTATATTTTGTTCTAAACAATGTGGTTTGCAGCATGGAATAATGTCTTCCTATCTTATTTACTTCTCACTGTGAGATCTAGGGAACATGTGATTAACTGCATTACAGCCAATTACATCTCTGTCTTTGACAAACTGAAGGTGGTTCCTGACTTTTCCCTGCCACTTCCTCTTTCCCTTATTTAACATGCAATGTTTGTTATTTTTAGTTAATATCTAAATAATTGATATTGATTAAAAAAATCAACAACAATGCAATCAATCAATTCATCTTTTAAAAACATGTAATACAGTGGTGCTTAGATTTGCTTTATTCCCAGTCAATGTACAAGACTACTAAAATGATGCAATATAGATGTAACAAGTGTCTAAAGGAGTGTGGGAAGAGGTTAAAAAGGAAGCAAGGAAGTAACCACACACCCATGCACTTATATGATCATTTTATGGAGTAAAGATGACATGACGATTGCTTGTAACAGCTTTGTTTTCAGTCAGCAGGGGATTCTCTTGCGCTGAGGTCTAAAACTGGCCTTAAATTCAAATTACCATTAGTCATTGTACTACCTTTGTATAATCCTAAAAATACTAAAATAAAATGTTTGTTTGAATGGCTTTAGATCAGTCATTTCCCTTGGAAATTTATAGCCTACTTAAAAAAAAAAAAAAATAACTCAAATGAATATCCACATAATACAGTCCTAAATGTAATGATAACGGTTACTTCAAGTTTTGTTGCTTTTTGTTTTGACAGGTTTCCTGAAAACCGGTATTCATGACATGTCAGTTGCATTTAAAGAAGTGAAGACATGATGGTTGGTACCCTCTCACCAAAATAACAATTTAAAGATTTAGTCATTTTTTAACAGAATTGGCACAGAAAATATTCCTAATACCTGACAGACGTAGTCAGATTTGTTTAGCCAATCAGAAGACAGGTCATGTCTGACTCAATGGTTAGGTCTGCTGGAGGTTTCAACAAGGCTAACAATAATTTACAGCGCCTTTAATTGCATTTCACACATTCATTATACTTCTGATTACAACCTTGCCATGGCATAGTACATAATTTTTACTTTCGCAAATAATATTATGCATTTATGAGATTATTAACAAAACACTAATGTATGGTAGTAAGTCACCTTGTTCATGTGCAGAATGGAGAAACAAAGATTCATGCCCTCTCAGAGAGTGTAACTTTGGAGGACACAGAAAAAGGAGGGGTCGTCGTCACACGAATCACGAATCCAGCAATTAATCTGAAGGAAGGTAAAGAACTCACATGTATCCTATATGATGCCTCAATCATACAACACGCAAACTTAATGATAATAATGGATTCTGTAACATACCTTGTCCTTATCCTCTCTTTTTGTCTCTTACAGATGATCAGCTTGTTGCTGCAACCATTCATCTGGACCACCTCAGTAAAGATGAAGTGCTAAACCTGATCAGAATTCTCGAGCCCTATGACAAGAACCTTGAATTTAAGACAGCAAAGGATCTGAAAGCAGGACTGGTAAGCAACCTTGTGAATTAAAGAAAGTAAAAAGCAAAAATAGAGACTAAATAGGTCTCACGATGTCTTCATCTCATCTTTCTCTTTAGTCTCTTGGTGATCTCCGATTAAACAGTGAGGCAAGACTTCAAGCACCAGGCGTTCAGGTTAATGGGCTAAAAGGACAGATAAATGCCCCAAGCCTTAAGGGTGGCATTTCAACCCCAGCTGTAAATGCAAAAATGCCACAGATTGAGCTAAAGGATGCCACACCTAACTTCAGCCACCGAGGGTTCAAACAACCAACTTTTGGCATGTCTGCACCAAATCTCAATGGAGCAGGTCTGGATGGTACATTAGAAGCACCTGATGTCAGTGTCTCTACCCCTACTCTTAATACCCCAGATGTTTCTGTTAATGTGGACAAGCCTGAACTGAAGACCAAAACACCCAAGTTCAAAATGCCCACCTTCAGTCTACACGCTAAAAAACCAAGGATTGATGGTGATGTGAATTTAACTGCCCCAGACATAAATGCTGACCTAAAAACCCCTGATCTGAATCTGTCAGCCCCAAAGATTAATGGAGAAATTGGCACCCCTATAGTAGACATGACCTTGCCAAAAACTGAGCTCAGTGGTCCAAACCTGGACATCAAAACACCAAAAGCTAATATTGAAGCTCCCTCTGGCAAGATTAAATTTCCTAAATTAAAGAAAGCAAAAACTACAAAAGTGAAAGTACCAGAGGCGAGTGTTGATGCAAATCTTTCTGCCCCAAAATTAAATGCAGATGTTAGTGCACCAAATGTTGACATTGATCTGCCAAGAGCCAATCTTGAAGCTCCAGATGTAGACATTAAAACTCCTGATGTCAATATAAATGCTCCCTCTGGCAAGATAAAATGGTTAACATTTAAGAAACCCACATTTGGGCAGAAGGTTAAAGCACCAGAGGTTGGCTTAGATGCCAATGTCTCAACACCTGATTTAAGTCTTTCAGCACCAAAGATAGATGGGGATATCAGCATCCCAAATGCAGATGTCAATTTACCAAGGGCTGATGTTGATGTAAAAGCACCTGATGTAGACATTAATGCTCCGTCTGCAAAGCACAAGTTCCCCACTCTTAAAATGCCAAAGCTAAACTTACATAAATCAAAGCTGAAAACTCCAAATCTAAATGCAGGGGTACAAGCACCAGACTTGGACATGTCAGCTCCTGGGGTAGATATTAATCTGCCAAAAGCTGAATTAGATGGACCGAATCTGAAAGCTCCAGATCTCAGTCTTTCAGCACCCAAAGTGGATGGCAAATTTAGTGCTCCAGACGTGGATCTGAACTTGCCAGATGCTAATGTCAAAAGTCCAAATGTAGACCTTGAAGTCCCAGACATTGACATAAATGCTCCTAAAGTAGACATTGATGCCCCCTCTGGCAAAGCCAAGCTACCTCACTTTAAGATGCCTAAATTTGGTCTTTCTGGACCTCGGGTTAAAACCCCAAATCTAGATGCACCTGATGTAGATGTGAACATCCCCACAGCAGAACTCAAAGGACCTAATGTAGATGTTAAAGCACCCAATCTTATTGTTTCCACACCTAAATTTGAAGGTGACATTTCTGCTCCCTCTTTAGACATTGGTTTGCCTAAAGCCAACTTGAATGCTCCAACTGCAAACATTGGGGGAAATTTAAAGTCACCAAATCTCAAACTCTCCACCCCAGATGTAGACCTAGACTTGCCAAAAGCAGAGCTTGAAGGACCTGATGCTACCCTTAAAGTCCCAGATGTTGACATTAATGCGCCATCTGGAAAAATGAAGTTGCCACATTTCAATTTGCCAAAACTGAATTTGTCTGGGCCAAAAGTTAAAGGGCCTGAGCTGGATGCTAACGCAGATCTAGATCTCTCAGTTCCCAAACTCAAAGGAGAATTAAATGCACCTAGTGTTGACCTAAATCTTCCCAAAGCTGAGATCAGTGCGCCTGATGTAAATGCAACTTTACCAAAAGCTGAGGTCAGCGTTCCCAATGTAGATATCAAGTCCCCAAACTTAGAGGCTCCGTCTGGAAAGCTGAAACTGATTACATTTAAGAAACCAAAAGTTGACCTTTCTGGTCCAAAAGTGAAGACACCTGAGATTGACTTAAATACAGAAGCTCCTGATCTCAGCCTCTCAGCTCCAACAGTTGATGCAGATGTCAAAGTGCCAGATGCTGATATAAACCTTCCCAAAGCAGATGTTGACATCAGTGCTCCCAAAGGAAAGCTGAAATTCCCAACACTCAAAACGTTTAACTTGTCTGGTCCAAAAGTCAAATCTCCTGATGTTGACATTGCCGCTGATGTACATGGACCAGATCTGAACCTATCTGCACCTGGGGTTGGTACTCCTGATGTTGACGTGAGTCTACCAAATGCTGGGGTTGATTTAGATGTTCCCACAGCAGACGTTGACATCAGTGCTCCCAAAGGAAAGCTGAAATTCCCAACCATCAAAAAGTTGAACTTTTCTGGTCCAAAAGTCAAATCTCCTGATGTCGACATTGCTGCTGATGTAAGTAGACCAGATCTGAACTTATCTGCTCCTAGGGTTGGTACTCCTGATGTTGACGTGAGTCTACCAAATGCTGGGGTTGATGTAGATGTTCCAAGCATCAACTCTGAAGTTGAGGGCTCCAAGCATAGGGTAAAATGGCCATTCAAATGGCGAAAGTCTACTGAATCAAGGGATGGGGATATAAACATTAAAGCACCAGAAGTAAATGGTACCACTGGAGAAATTAAACTCCCCAAAAATATACCATTGTTCAAGCCTCACCCCCTACCTGACAGCAACATTGACAGTATCTTACAAGAACTCACTGGAACGGTTGACCTCAGTACTGACCCTACAAAAACAACTACTGACGCGGTTGTCTCGGTCTCGTCAGTCAAAACAAATCTTAAAGCTTCTTCTCCATCTGCCGGGGTCAGTGGACAGACAGCTACTGTAGATATCCGGGAAAGGCTGAGGTTGTCTAATGCACGTACTACAAGCCCAGATTTCGGCATATCTTCAGAACCAGGCAGCCCTACAAAAGTGAATAGAGGAACGTTTAAAGTCACAAAGCCTGATGCTGAAAAGGCCTACCCAGTAATTGATACAACTAGCAACGAAGATGACGCCAACATTACCCTCAGCTTGAACAACATGCTTGGTTTGCCAACAGATTAAACTTTAAATAAAACCAGGAGCCTTGTTAGTATAGTTCCATACCCACTGCATATAGTTAATACATATGTAGAACAATATGTAAAAAAAAATTAATACACCTCCAACTGTTTACTTTTAAAATGGGTAGAGTATTGACAGAGAAGCATTACAGAATTTGACAGAGATGTAATTTTTTTTATATTCAGTTTTATATATATATAATTGTATAAAGTTCTCTTTAAATGTGCAATGATTGTATCTTCTCAAAACATGAAGGAAAATATGATGAATATGTAATTCTGTCTATTTTGTCACTGTTTTATGTAATATTATCTAATATATAGTCTTTTGGTTACACTTATTTCCATTCCAGTTATATACATATATATATATATATATATACTGACATATATATATATATATATATGTCAGTATTGCAAATTGGAAAAAATAACATAAAAAATAAAGTCCAAATTTTACATCTATAAAATATCACATGTGTGTCTTTGTGTGTTACATGAAGCATGTGTACCTATATTTGCAAGGGCACTAATCTCTCAAAATACTTTAATAAAATTTGATATGAACTTTGCATGGATAATTCATTTTAACACTCACTCCCGGTTTGATTATGTCAGACCGTTATACTGCATGCCTTAAATTTTTTTTTTTTTTTTTTTAAGATCCTCAAAGGATAACAGTGAAAAACAGATGCAGTGCAGCAGTAAATCATCTACAATTATTTATTTAGGCTAGTTATTCACCACTGACATTCAAGCGATGCCAATAGTTCATAATGTATTGCTGATGAAAAAAATATTTTGTATTTACACTATAATGGTAATTATAACAAATCTTCAAATACTGTACATATAAAGGTTTTATTTTTAAACAGAGAAACCTGATGCACACAAACAGGCTTTAATGTTTAGACACAGGAAATAAAAAGCTAGGTAGAGTACATGGCACAACACCAAACACTTTTTAAAAGAGTCTTGTTTAGAAGAGGTAATTTTGTCACATTCTACCCTACTACCTGCATTGTAATTTACATTTGGCCATACATTTTGAAACAGTCGCACTCTGCATTTTTGAAACTAATATTTTCAATAGTTACATTTAAAACGTCTCAGAATGATTAAGCAAGTCCAGTCAACTTTCAGATGAATTGTTCTCTGCAGTTATACTGCTATTTTACCTTTCTCAGAGGCATGCTAAATCTTTCTTAAAGTCTCAAAACACTAAAAATAAAGAAAAAAAAATTAAGTGCCATTCATACCAAACATGATATTAAATTCAAGTGCTCAGTGAGCAGTGCAATGGGAATTTTGATATATACTACAATGTTTTACATGCTCAAATTCAAATTTTGCATTTTTAACTGGTCACTTCACAAACAGACCCCGCACAACGATCCTCTTTTATAGAACATAAGCAGAATGAATTTCAGTGTATAAAGTCTGCAAAAGTCGTCTTAAAACTCATTTAGATATTGAGCTCAGTGACTCAACATCATATATGTTACTAATTTAAGGAAACTTCATAAGACTACCAACAGTGGCACACTGCCAGCAGATGACTGTTTGTATTCAAAATAAATTAAATGCTGTATTACTGGAACCACAGAGAATTTCCAGGCAGAATCTAAATGAGTAGTCACACCTGAGCGGCCTTTCCGTTTTCTCCTGAAGTGCTGGCGTGCTGCTGCATATAGCCTATTTGCTATTCACCCTTTTGTCACATAACTAATACAGCTAACCAGTCTGTGACATTTGGACTGATGAAATCAGCCAAAGGTTAACAAAAAAAATTTAACTACATCCAGTGTACTACCTTGTAAACACTGTCTTTGTACCACCACTGTTCAGTAATGTGTGTTCTGACCTGCTGTCCATTCCTGCAGTCATGAATTTCAGTTACTACGAACACGTTTCTCCTTTGAGGTCCAGTTATTGTTAAGTCCCAGCTAATGAGCCTGCTGCCAGCGTGAGGGCCAGTCGTTCTCCATCCACCTCTGGAGCAATCGAAGCACATCAATGCGCTGGTAGAGCTGGCAGAGTTCGGTGAGCTCCGTGACAGGTTTCTGGTTGTAGCGCAGGAGGAACTCTTGAGTGGGACTGTGGTAGGTGGGACCGTGTGTGCGCTGCTCTAGAAGCGTGAGCTCGTCATAGCTCATTCCCCAGCGGCTTGCAAAGTTCTTCCAGTTTTTGACAGTGCAGTGAGTCGGATCCAGCTTCAGCCTTAGAGTGTACAGAAGGTCTTCGTCGTTCATCAGGTCACTGATTTTGGGTGGAGGGGCGGAACATAAACACTCCTTACAGGGCTTATGTTCTTTACCGAAGTCTAGAGAGTGGGGAAAGAAAAGCAGACATTGCATAAAATCAGGATATCTCAAAAATGAATGCAAACAGTAACAATAGCACTCCAAAACCCAATTTACAAACGCTTCTTAACCCTCTAAGGGGGTTTGCCTATGGAGCGTATTTTATTTTAAAACACTTATTTTAAACCCTTTCTGTCACCTGATGGACACTTTTAAAATGAAAATTAAATGAAATTACCATTACAACCAGTAGGACTGAAGTACGAAGTATAGCAAGCGCAGAAAGTCACAAAGTCTTAAGTCATTAAATAAACCCAGACCCCAACAGTCTAGAAGGGTTAATAACTATTAACTATTTTTGACCTAGTTAACTACAAATGAAATAAATTAATTGTTAATGCTATAATAATTAAATAATAATGCATTAAATACCTTCAAATATTTTTAGATTTAACTTAAAAACTATTTTTTTCAACATTTCTTTAAAAAGGACACATGAAAAAGAGTGCTTTACTTTTTTATCTTTAACTAGAAGCTGATAAATGTATTTGGCCAACACAGACTTGTTGCTGTTGTAGGTTTGTTGCTCGGCATTTACACTGCTTCACTTAATGCACAGGTCTATTTTGACATCGGCTTGTCAGATGTTGTGTTCCGTCCGTTTCTACAGTTATCACTGTCAGTCATATCTAGTGCTGCCAACCCTCACGCAGCTGACACTGTTCTCACGCCACATGTCCATTTTCTCACTATGTGCCACTGATGTGATGTCTGCTTGTATGAGTTCTTGTTTTTTATATTTATAACATAGTCAAGCAACATCAGAAGAGAAAGAAGCAAATGATTAAATTACTTATTCGTAAAATCACCAGTCACTTGCTTTGTTCCTGAATGAAATGATTATTTTGGATATATATCAGGTACAGTACATGCCAAATTTTCTCAAGGAAAAAAAATCTCTCAACTAATGCTGTAAAATATACACGAGTCAGTTGGTACTACATTATTATAATATTGGAGGTTAAAATTGACTGATTTGTTAAAATTACACTTAATGAAGTTTTTAAGATAATAAAGTTACAATTACATAATATTTCTACTTCAAATTTTTTTTTTATATAAACATAATGGTGGCTGTCATAAAAACTTGATGGATTTATTCAAACATAAATTCACTTTGTTTACAAGCTGTTATATTGACGTCTTTGCGCGGCTGAAACACTGATTGAGCGATTACATGAGACAGGATACGGATTGTAAAGTTGTACTCTTTTTTTTAGCTTACATTTGGATATTTAGTCATGATTATTTTGTGCTGAAACTGGTATTAATGTGGAGGAGACGATCAGTTCACGTGCGCCTCGCGCTGCCGCGTCCGTTGAACTGAGGCGCTACAGCGATCTGTCACTCCACATTAAACAGCGCCAAAACGACATTTATTGTTTGAATACTGCAATACAATGGACAGAATTTGAAATCTGAGATGTGTTTCATATTAAAAGTACCAAAGCACAATGCTTATTGCCATATATTGGATGGGAAGTGCCCTTCAACGTTCCATCCATTAACTGAAAACAGGCTACACTAATCGATTCTTGGGATTTAAGAATCGATATTGTTGAGAAAAAAATGAGAATCGATTAAAATCGAGATGTCGATATTTTTTACCCAGCCCTAATATATATACATAAATGACATGATATAATATTTTCTGTTGTGTATAATTTTGATGTACGATTTCAGTTAGAAAAATTATAGAATTCTAAAACTTTTTAAAACTGTAGATTTATTGTTAGCAATGTACAGTGTATTATTACCATATGCTCATTTGCCCCATTCTGATAACACTGTGTCCAATTTGTGGTGACAGTTGTGTACAGTAGGAATGGTAGTATTCTACTATTTACACATACCTGATGATACTGAAGATGATGGAATAAATTCACTACTGTCATTTTCCACAGGCTGGGTGATAAAGAGAGAGAGAGAGAGAGAGAGAGATGATAAGGCCCATGTATAATTGAAGTTAAAGATTCAACAAAGAAGACTCAAGTATTACACACTGCACAAATACATTAAAGGGGACATCAGATGCCCATTTTCCACAAGTTGGTATGATTCTTTAGGGTCTTCATGAAATATCTGCAAAATACTTTGGTTCCTCAATGGTTGTGTAAAACAACACCATTTTACCTTGTCAAATACAGCTCTGTTCACAGCGAGCCGTTTCGGTGCATGTCTCTTTAAATTAGGGATGTTCATTTCGGTTATTTTTCCTAACCGACAACCGACGCTCGTTAACCGATTATTAACCGTTAACCGACAAGATTATTTTAAATTAGAATTAAATTAAATTAGAAAGGATACGTGTCTGTGACCCGTTAAAAATACTAACATTTGTTTCCCGGGGATTAATTTTACATGTGCAAAAAGCAGCAAAAAACAGAACATGAGGATTCACATGCATCACATCACGCACATGCAGCGCTTCTGCGAGCGGAGAAAAACATAATAAAGCTAGGCTATGATTATCTTTAGGACTAAAAGGAGTAGTTGTTTCCACTGTTAGAAGGAGAAAAATCAAGTGATTGCGCCCGTGCCGCATGTGCGCACACAGTATGTTCATTATCATAATAAAATACAGTCAGTCAAACATATGGAAAAAAAAAACACTGCTCAGTTTAAATATGTAGTAAAATCTGTGCCATTAAGTATTATCACAGTACCGCCGTGATGTTATGCAAAACATTTTGTTTTACGTGGATATTGGAACGCGACTGAAGTAGGCTACATAAATAATAATTTGCCATTCAAATACATCGCGAATACGGAAACATTTGATTTTATGTCGA